CCGGGATGGACAGCCCTCAACAAGAAACGCAACTCCCGATGGAGATTAAACCCTCCCTCCGGGAGCTCAGGGAGGGCCGTCCTGTATCTGCTTCTGAATCCAATTTGCCGAGCTTGTACTTGCTCAGGAGTCAAAAGTAAGGTGGAGGAGCCACGATACTTCGGAAGCGATGCGTGATGACCATGCAGATCCAGAGCTTACGATAGAAGAAGAAGAAGAAGAAGAAAAAGAAGAAAACAGAGAAGAACATGCTGATGCTGATGCTGATTGTTATCCAGGGTGAGGTAAGGAGCACACTCAGCCTCTACGCAACGGCGATCGTCCAACAGTTCCTGTCAGAATTGCAAAACAAGTTCAACTTTGCAGGCACAATCTGCATTGGAGGAAGCTGCTGGGCTGTTTGCAGAGGGTGCCAGGCCACATGCTCAAGTTGCCCTGACTCGTGATCAGTTCGAGCAATGCCTGCCTGCTACGTTTGTGCTTTTAATTGAACGTGTTCCACGGAGACATTATTTGTCAGTAAACAGCCCACGTCCTCAGGCTGGGAAGAGAAGGCGAGGACGGGTTTCGTGCGTTGAAAGCTTCACCAGCTCCTTCCATTCTTCGAGCGCTTGGGTTTTCACTGCATAGAAAACACATGCAAAAACCGGACACGATTTCACACTGGAGTTGAGACCAGTTTTCAAAAAGCCTTTCCAAGAATGTTCCCGCAGCTTAGAGAGGATGGTTTGCAATTAGGCGGTTCCGGAGCAGGTTCCAGAGGAGTGACATCATAAAAGACATGGTTTTTGTATGTTTTTGTTTCCACCGAGCCATCGCTATTAGGTTGGAGGCCATCGCCATTAGAAGATGAGGACGTTGTTTTCATTTCCGGTATGTTTTTTGTGCAGGGCACGGATCTTTCAACACGTCTGCCGGGGCGGCGCAGTGGTGTGAAGATCTGAAAAAGCGGTTGGAGAAGCTTAAGCCCGGGCAGCTCCTTCTGGCACCGGGTGGATGGATTCACAACAAAGGCCGGGCATAGAAGTGGAACAGTACACCTTAGTACTGCAAGTTGACGACGTCCAAATGACCTAAGACCTTAGAAGTAGCAGTTAAAAGCTAAAAGGAACAGAAACGACATTTGATGTCTCCAGCCAAGCTGCATTTTTTTGGTGTAAGATTCGATAACTGCTTGGTCCAGGTGGCCATGCCATCATCTACTTGTTCCACCGAGCTAGTGACAAAGAGCTGCTCGCCTTGTCTCGGAGACACACATTTCAATGGCAAGTGATGTGAATCGGAACTTGCCCGATCGGAACTGCATTGGACGGTTTGAATTTGTCGACTGGTGAGAATGCAGGTTCAGATTTGCAGTGTGCAACACAGGAGAGGGCGTGAATGACCATCCACAGGACTGCAGTGTCAACCTTCACTCTCAAGACCATGCCATGCCATGCCCCGGTCCTTGTTCAAAGTTACTCTGAACTCAAATATTGAAATAACCAGAGCTGAACATTCTCATACATTCTCTTCCTCAGAGACAGTCGTGCTTGGCAGGATGCGGGCGCTGACGTGTTTCCAAAGGAGAAGCGTGTCACCTCCTGGCTCTTGAAAGGTATTCCACCGGAAAAGATATTGGATGAGCTTTGGCTGTTCTCCCTCTTCAAGATGCTTGGCATTGGCATTCAACTTGTATAGTATTGTATGATATCGATGATATCGTATATATTATACAGCAAATATATTTCAGTGTGTATAATATGTATATATGTATGTGCATGTATGTATGTATGTATGTATGTATGTATGTATGTATGTATGATCCTGCAATTTTCTATCTCCCTCACACATCACATCATATCATTTGTGGAGAATTTCTCGAAACTACGTCATACTTCTTCCACCCAGGATCTACTACAGAAAGGCCGATCACCACAAGCCGATCATCCTCTACGAGGTTCTTCTACCAATGATTCTCCCAAGTGCAAATGTACGTGAGCAGACAGATTCGTCGGCCTCTTAAGCATCCATCCTTGCTTCACTTGGTGGGAAAGGTGAGCTCAGAGGTAAGGATCTTTGACGAAAGGTGAGCTCAGAGTTGATGTGAGGTACTTCCAGATGTTGTGTTCCTTACTTCGGTTCTTCCAGCTACAGAAAAAGATCAATCAACTACAGATAACTCAAGATGTTGACCATTAGGCCACTACTCTTTGATGTTGATGCTTCTCAGGTCCTGGCTAACTCCAGCAACGTGCCAACGTGCTGGCTCCTGTCCGGAGCTGACAGGGAAAGAGCGAGGGATGGAGCTATTTGGAGTATCCGCTGTTGTAGCGGTTTGTTGATTGCTTTTTGTCAAAGTAATTGAGAACAAGAGCTCGACGTTAGGGAGTCTTGTAATTCTTTCGCTTGAAAGTCTTGAAAGTACGGTGGTAAGTAGTCCGACTAGCTTCCTCAAATAGCTGCTTGAAATTGGGCAACCAATCAAAGCTGCGATCCTTTACTTTGGAGGCTACTACAAGTGCATCCCAGCAGCCTTGCGGCTGATCCTGGGCATTAGAGAGGTTGAGGAGTGGGAGAGGAGAGGCACTGTGAAAGGCATCCAAACAGCTGCACGAAACACTTTGCAAGTACCTAGTGCACTGCAGTGCTGGTGGATAATTACTGGACATTCGCTGAAAGAAACCGCACTTCAAAATCCTTCAACACTGGCACTCAAGAGCCATTTTGTTGACAAAGATTTGAGTGCGGCAGGAAGCTGCTCATGTACCACCTGCGCCTGGGGCAAGTGGCCCGCATCCATCAAGCACTCAAGGACACTGATTTGGAGGCAGATGCGCTCGGCTTGCGGTTTGATGCTGCAGACAGGGACATTATGCAGGTATCCAGTATCCAAATAGTACAAGGGTTGTAATAAGGTTGTAAGGGCACAACAGCACTGAATGCGGACCAGCCTTGGCAATAGTGCTGAAGACAATCCTCGAGCCTGCAGGCAATGACAGCTTCAGACTTCATGGTTGTGGAATGTGCATGCCGGCAAATGGCGCAGAAGGCGGGGTTGTGACAAGAATAGAAGTTGGATTTGATCAATTCCTTGTTGAAGACTCATTGAAGACAAAAGAACTGCGAGTGATGAATAGCGAGATGGTGACTTTGGAGGTTCTTCATCAAAACCGCATCTCCAACGACGAAAAGGAATCAGCTCGCCGCCTCATCGCAGGTGTTGATGCTAAGGTTGGGAATGTCTTTCGATGTTTCTTTCTCGAGGATGCAAAGGAGATCAAAGGAAGTGTTCAAACGATGATGCCAGCTATTTGTGTCAATATATGGCATTGTATTGCTAGCTGCTACTTATACAACGGGATTTTTTGGAGCTCTTCGGCAATCATCCCCCTTGGCACTCTCCAGGCAGAACCATTTTCACTTGAGTTATTCTCATAGCCGTAGAAAGAAGTTTCCAATTGAAGGCATTGCGCATCTTTTTCTGGCATTGCCCATCCCAGTTTCCACTCACCTCCTGTTGACAACAGGTAGCGGAAGCTCGGGAGATCCAGCGGCAGGCCTTGGCCAAAAAGGCCGTTGGCATCAGTCAAGGAGTCCCCAAGGACATCATTGTGGTGGATTTGCTTGGACTTGGTAAAAGAATGTTAAAGAGGAGTCAGGCAGATTAATTAGGTGTTAGGTTCGGTTTGGGAGTGCCCTTTATTTGATGCAGACTCATCAATCCAGGTATGTAATACAAGAATTTGCAAATCCAAATGAACAAGGGTCGCATTCTCCAAATGAAGCGGTCGCTCGCATTCGTTCATCCTGGAGATGCAGAACAAGAGTCGAGGTGAACTCCGCGCTTGGATTTGACGACAGGACCACGTGGGATATGCAGGCTTTCCAGGCTGGGAACTTCTCTCTGTTCCATGGTATGGTGACTTGGATTTGATTCTGCACCCAAGCATGAGACTTTCAGAGCTCATCAGTGTCAGCGAGGCCATGGGATTTCATAGGATTTCATTGGTGCTTGTCATTGATTTCATTTTACTTTTCCTGCCCTCACTGTTTGTGCTGACAATCTTCACTGAGGCCACGGAAACAATGGAGCCTACACTCATCTCATGGGGAACAAGGACTCTTTACACCCTGGTGAGCACGTCACTCAACAGCACAACATTGACAGATCCTGAATTGTAGTTGGCATCCAGGAACAATGTTGAGAGATTGGGCATCTCATAAACTGAACCGTGTCTTTCTGCGAAGTGTTTCTTTTTTTTACGCAGGCTGTAGGCTGTACTATGCTGTACTTATTCAATGGCCCCATATAATTTCATTCGCTTCATCTATGCCATTCTAGGTGGACATTGCTGCGCTTCGTGAGCAGCTTGGCCGCAAAGTGATCCCACTTCTCAGAAGCCGGAAAAGAGTGAAGAGAACTAAGAAGAGCTTCCCAGCTCTTCGAAGCTCTTTTTGAATCGAAGCCCCCAGGCTGACGGGCATGGAGCTCATTTTCAAAGCAACAGAGGTTTGTCTAGGCCTCAGATGCCCTGGAGGGGAGGAGATACGATGACTCTTACAAGGATGCACGATGAGCAATCCAAGGTGACAAGTTGGAAAACAACGGTTTGGAAGAGACCATCAAGTTGAGGACATCCATTTGATTGATGGGTTGTTATATTACACTTTACATCTTTACAAGATGCATTTGATAGCTGCGTCAAGACTGTGCATGCATTGTGCACATATATGCTTGCGTGAAGCTGCAACGCGTGCAGGGCTCAATAATAGGAGTTCCAAACGGCCCAAACGACCAAAACTGTGACTCCTTCATTGCAGGATCGGAGCTTTGATCGAGGACATTTTTATCCGCTATTTCCCAGGAAGCCATCCGGAGTGGACTGAACTGGAGTTTGAGACTTGCTCTGATTGGTGGTGCAAAGTCGCTAAATGTCCCTGCCAGCAAAGTCGCTAGTCACATGAGGCAGCTTCATTCTTTCAACTTTCAACAGCTTTTCCATGCTCTACCGTCATACAATCATACAGAATCATACACGTCAAAACATTTTACTGCCTGTGAAGTCTGAAGTCGTTCAGATGAGCTCCAAGTACTCCAAGGACCTGGCAACGCAGACAAAACTCTTGAAATCCCTTTGGCGTCTCACACAGCACTATGTTGCAGCAGTGGCATCTTCCACCACGGCACGGACGCAAGTAGCAGCGCAGGTCCTTACCATGAGGCCGGTCTGGAAGACGGTATTACAATTCCTTGTGGTTTCAAGCTTTTAAGTCATATTCGGTACAGGAACTTGTTCAATTGTGTGAATGGAGTGAAATGTAGTACCTGAGGTCTTTACATGCAGCCTTCGAGACCAGCATGAGGACGGGGAAGAAACCAGCGTGGTGGCCAGCTGGACGTGGCCAGATGCTTGAGGTCTCGAGTGTCGCAGGAGACCCGCCTCAGATGGGATGCTCCCCACAACACAGGCCATCATCAACCCGGTCGGAGGTTCCGACCCTGACACCTTCAGGCCGCAAGCATCCGCAAGCTGCTTTTACACCCGAAACAAGTTTATCACAGTGTCACAAACACATTAAGGACATGATAAGAAATGTGAAAGAAAAAACACGAGGGGGAGAAGCGGGCAAAGCATTTGGCAGGCTATCCTGGAGCTTCACTGGTGATGCTGACTTGAGGGTGGGCGTTTTGGTCATTTAGTCTTCTCGTTATTTTTGCGTGCAAGTCTCCTGTGCAATTTCCACTCCTTGCAGGGGAACAGCGTTGCCGTGAGCACAGAGGGACTTCCGCTCTCCACACCTAAGCTTGCAGAGGCGGGGTTTCATTTGACCCCGGATGCAGAAGATAATTTTGGACCGTCCATGGTGTTCCATAGAATGAAGCCACAGCAGACATTCTGAAGCCCTCAAGTGATCTCCAAATCCAGTTTGTTTCTGGACTCAGACACAAGCAAGGCGCGAAATTCTTTGCAGCGGCATGCAGCGGGTGGCGGAGCAAAGGGTGATGCTGCCTGGGACCAGATGTTGATGCTTGTCCCGATTCAACGCTTCGGGTATTTGCAAAATTGCAAAATAGTCACTAGATGAGTATGCTGGACTCAGTATTATTGAGTGCTGCTCTTGAACTGGTGCTGAAGCACACTGCCACTAGTCCTCGGCATATAAGCACCCTTCATTATCTCAAACAACATCAAACAACCGTGCACACGCGAAAAGCATGCCAGAAACAGGTACAAAGTGTATGTGAGATGAATTTCAATTTGAGTGAACAACTTGGCGGGTTGCATAGGTTGCATTATATATACTTGTGTTGAGTGCCCCCCCTTCACAGTGAGAGAGAGAGACACACAGAGGTAGATTGGAGGTATACTGTACGTTTGAAGAGTATCAGTCAAGGGAAAAAGAACATAGGATGAGCAAGAGTTCTGTTTCTCTTTCCCAGTGCCATTCAGGAACGGACTGAAGTATGATGCCTCGTCGATGAAGTCAACGCACCAGAACTCAGCAATTTCGCTACCGAGTCCGTGTCTGTTCTGCTAGATTCAGAGACAACTGCGCGTCTTTCTGCAGAACAGCTGGGAACAGCTCGTGCACCAAGGCAACAGCTGGTCAATGACCTGACAAAGAAAGTGCTTGGGATTATGAGCAATGTTTTGCCACCAAACCACAGCGACGCGCCTTGGCAGAACTTTTTATTCAGTACTGTACTTAAAGATAGCCAGCATGTAATTCACCCAGCATTGCACCAAATGTGAAAGGCAAGACAAGACCGCTTAGATTTCCTAGCGCAAGCGCAGGAATGGCCAAAGTGGACAATTCCTTTCGGCTGGGCCTTGAACTCCGCGGGGGAAATCAAGAAAAGAGCGCCAGAGTTTTACTATTGGCGGGACATTTGTGTTGGCAGCCCAGAATCAAAGAACTATTCACAGTCCAAAACAACGAAATGCATATTGCAGCGGTTGCAGCTTCATTGCTCATCCATGCACAGAAGCTGAGGTATGGTCCAAGTACATTTGCTTGGATCCCGCATGCAGGAGGGGCGTGCAATTGCATATGTAGTATATCATAGCTTTCTTTGAAGGGGCTGCCGCTGCCTGCTCCTCTGTTTCAAAAACTAACTCATGTGCAGTCAAAATCGACCGCTACAGCATACACTATATACTGCTCCTTACACTGCAAATGCTATTCGCGGGACTATGTTTCTAGAGCTCGAGTGGTCACTACAGCTATTGACCCTGTTACTTTGTCAGCGTCCACCATCTCTACCGCTCCCAAACACTTCACTTCCAAAAACGTCACCAAGATCACAAGATTAGGCCAGGAGCAACAGCAACAGCTCTTCCTTCTGCTCTTCCTAGTTTTGTGATTGATACTCGACAATGATGCTTGCTTTTGCTTCCACTGACAACACTAACTGCCGTTATTGGAAGGGTGAGAAAGGCTGGTGGAGAACAAAGAACCAAGTAAAACCGCTGCTGAAGCTGCTATAGCTCTATCACATTCTATCACCTTTTGAGATGCCTGTTCTACTGATAGCTGCGGATACTACCAATGTCTATGTCTATGTGACCTACGGAAGTCGGTGCAGGCAAAGGACAATCAATACTCAAGATGAAAAGAGCTACGATGGCCATTAGACCAGCTTGGAAACAACATGAAACAACTTTGCCAAGCTTTTTTTGTGCCAGGAAATTCAAAGGTGTCTTCAAATCTGATAACGTGACCATCAATTGGAAAGTCAGCTACTGCAAGCCCTGTGAGATCCTGAAGGTGCCCAGCTCTCAGGAACATGTGGGGTCGGATGGGGTTGGTGTCAATGAATTCGTCTGACCACATATCATCCCATATCAATATCACCTTCCCCACTGAGATTCAAATCAAACAGCGGCTCAAAGGCTTTAATGGGCATGTCAATGCATGCCACGTTGCTATTTGTCCCTCGCCAGTCACAGCCATCTGCTTTAAACGGCACGATCAAGTTCGACCAGCTGAGCAAAGGCCGCTGATCTCTGGAGCCGTACTTTTCAATTTTGATCTTTTCTCGTCCTTTCTTTGTTGGATGATTAGAGAAAAGCGGAGTTCGGAACTTGAGAAGTTGGTCTCCGATAGTTGGCTTTGTGAAGATCCTCAACCTTTCACCTTCCACTAAGGATCACTAAGGGGCGTTGCGTCTATCTACAAGCTTCTTTAGGTCTATGTGAGATCAGATCTATTGGATTGTGTTTAACTTGCAAGAACCGACGAAATGAGAAGTGGATTGCCCATGTCCAAACAGGTGAATCGAAGTGCTTGCTGCAACTTACTTAAATGTCACGCCGTTGGTTCGTCAGGTTTCCCATGTACAAGTGGTGCCAGCTTGCCTGCAGTAGGCCAATCCGTCAGTTCTTCCCAACGGAGCGCAAAGCTGCATACAGTTTGCGTGTTGTTTGGTTGCCACTGTGGGGTGTGCAGCTGTGCCATCAAGAGCTTCCTGTTTCGCACTCCGTGGCTTTGTTCAGGTTTGGATAAGGCTTCCACCGAAGACGACGTCGTCCACGCGCCAACTCTGCCGAATTTCGGCCAGGCAGGGACTTGGTGTTTAATTATGGCATTATGGGTAACGCTTCGCAGACCCCACTCCCCCTGGCGCAAAGCTCCTGTCCAAAACACATCGAAACTGGATTAATTACACCAAGATACACCAAGTGTTATTGCTCGCAAATTGACCCAGATCCAGCCCAAAGTGCACTGGCGGCAGTGTCCAATGTGTGAAACTGGCTCTGCCAAGGCTTATCTATCATGGCTTATCTGCAGAAAGAGCCCGAAACCGTATTAAACGTATTAAGATGTATGAATTAAGCCGTATATTTCCTGCGCAAGCCGACCTGATCCAAATCCAGCCCAAGCAGCGCACGCGGCAATGTTCAACGTCATGTCTGAAGCCCTAGTCCCCACTCAGCGGCGCGCTCTTTGTTCAACTCCACGAGAGCAAACCAGCATTAAAACAGACAAGCAGCTTCCTGTGAATGCTTCAAGCCCCTTGCCCATCCGTTGTAGGCCTTGGCTCAAGAGGAAGCTGAACATGCGCAAAGCTGAGACAAGTTCCGCATGTAAGTTGAAGTCAGGCTGGCAGCAACTTGGATGGTGTAGTGTGGCTCCGTTTTCTGTGGCTTGAGGTGCTGAGCAGCCTCACGATGCCGTACCTGCGCATTCCATTGCTGCTACATTTCTTAGCAGCAGATCGGCTTCATGCTTTGAAGCAGACGCCACTTGGCGGCACTAGCTGACTAGCTGAGGTTACGCTCCAAACTTGAGAATGGTTCAAGGGATTTGTTTGCAATATTTTCTTAAAACAGTTGTTGAAGAGTTTTCCTCAGTGTCTATCAACTAATTTGTAGCTATACTGTGTTATATATATATATAGTTTTTTTTTTTAAACAAAAAAATTAACATCCTCATGAGAGATGTTGCAGCATGTAGGTCCATGCAAGACATGCTGTGGGCCGCTTTAATGGAACCTGCCAACTGGGCTGATGATGAGCATCCGAAACCTGTGGAGCAAGCGCCCGAGAATAAATCAAAGCTGGGAACCTCCTTTGGCCTGCTGCACAACGAGGCATGACAGTGCTTCTACAAACAGCACACTAAACGGAAGAAGCCAGGAAACGTCATTTGTTGTTTTTTTTTTAAACCTCAGTAATTACTTCATTTTCAACTCTTGACCTCAGTCTCGGATCCTGTGGTCAATCTGCATGTAGCTGGGCTTGGTCATTGGTCATCTCCGTCCCAGTGCAGGTCCTCAAAGGCCTCAACGCAATCGCCGCACCCTTTTGCGCTCTTTGCGAGCAGGCCATGTTTTGGAGGAAGTCTTCTTTTTGCGTATGCCTGTCATAGTTTTGGGTCACACATACCGCCCCGGCAAGATCGTTTAGACGCCTCCGCCCGGGGATGGAGAGTTGTGTTTGCCTGCGCGGTGTCCACGCAGTGGTGTCCGCGCAGTGCCCACAGCTGCTTATCAGGCAGATGAACTGGCCGGCCTTGCACCACCAGAGGCTTGCGTGTTGCAATGCTTTTAATGTGTCAATTCTTGCAGATGCATAATACGTAACCATGCAGCATGGGACTGAACATTTGTGTCTTTTGTTGATATGGCAAGAACACCTTGCACTCGCACTTTTTCTCCAAGAGTTGCTTTTAAACTGGTGCGTTTTTGACGGGTCGGAAGTTTAGTATTGGTGGAAGGTTCGACTTGTGCGATCCCCCCCGAACCACACCCGAACCATAGACCCCGCATGAACCGTCCAGGAGTTTGATGGCCCGCCTGCTGAAATCCTGCAGTACTTTGTGAGGCTGGCAGTCTGAAAGAACAGACTTTAGATGCTCACAACAAGTGCCTGGCTCTTGATGTTGGTCCTCTCCTTTGAACACTGAGGATCACCATTTAAACCACAGGAACATCAGTGTATACTGTATGTATATATATATATGTAACATGGATGTAAATATATAGTATAGTGAATGGTCCACGGCAAAGGTGGCATTATCAACAGGTTTGTTTTCCATTATATAGTTTTAACAGTACCAAACACAGATTTCACGGGAAGCCTGATTTTATTCGTATTTCTATTGGCGTTAAGATGTGGAAGCTCCTGGCCACAGCGTTTCATGTCAGGAAACGTGGTAACCCGGGAATTACTTTCAACCTGCATTGAAGACATATGTTTCTGCTACATCTAGTGAATCTAGTATACAACATTCACATCCCAAAATCTAAGTTTCTGATCAAGTAGATCTTGGAAATCATGTCCCAAGCAATGAGTTGGTAGTCTCTCCTTCCTACCGCGGACCAATGGGTGTAGTGGGTTGACCTCACGCTCCTACCTGGAACTAAACCACTTGATGGTCAAGGACACATCCGCCCCGCCGAGTCTCAAGCAAACTTTCACTTCTGGAGGGTGACCAGCGCTTGCAGCAACTCTTGTGGGTTCAGTGGCCCAAGGCTTTGCATCCACTGCCACTGTTCATGTCTCCTCCGCCCTAAACTTGTCTCCCTAACCTATGGTTCAACATAAAACTTCGACCGATACAAGGCTGCGACATTCGAGGCCCCTTGAGGCGGATCGAAGACGGATCGAAAACAAACGCTATTATTCTCCCACCCCACCCCGCAGCGGTCGGGGCTGGTGGGGACTGAAACCATCCGAAACCACATGGCGCAATATCAGTTGTGGGCCAACTACTATAATAGCAGTCTGTTTGTTTGTCTGTTGACGTTTTTGTTTCAGCTTGTGCATTGAAAGTCCGTGAGGCTCGGCAGCCGTGTTTTGGATCAGCTTCATGATCAAACTGTCGAGGAATCGGAGCTCATGAGGCCGAACCCCGAACGAAACGCCCAGCTGCATGTTATCAGCTTGGCACATGTTGACGGGGGATATCTACAAGGGAAACAAATATGTTTGAAAGCATGCTGTATGTGTAGTACTACACTATCACATTCTCAACACCGGCAGTCAGAGGATTCTCAGTGATGTCTGAATCAATGGAGATGCAATACTTTTGCTGTTGTTGACACGGCATTGTTGCATTTTGTTGCATTCCTTTCGTTTCTCCTAACCCCCTGCCAGGACGCTGACAAAATTCCTCGAAGAGAAAGCTGTGAAGCACCTTCACAGATGGATCAATGCTTCGACTCAGGCAACGGGAGATGTTTGATTTCCAAGAATGCGTGCCAAAGCAGCACATCCACAGCCTTTTGAACGGGAGATGCCTCCGATTTCACTAGAACCGTCAAACCGTCAGAATGCCCACAAGTGTCACTATCTTCATCTATCTTCAAGACTTCCGTGCAAGGAACATCAATCTGGTTTAAAATGTCATCAGGCAAATGCCTATTGTGCAGGAGATGGATGTTCGCTGCAGACTTCATGCGCATATTGCAGTGACTTGCTTGCACCGGGATATGCAACTCAGCTGCAACTCAGCTCTGCGTTGGCCGTGCTGTTTAGTGTGGACAGAGAACGATGCTATGTTTTTGGCACATCTTAGCACCCTCTCAGGACAACAATCGTTCGAGTGCACTATTTATATATATATATACATATATATATATATATTATATTTATACAACAAAGTAGGTCCAGGGTTCCACAGGTTGTATATGGCCAATTCCCCAAACAGTTTACTGTTGGGGTTCTCTCTTAGGAAAGAAACTCACAGTCTCTGGCGGTGCCCCTGAACCCTGTGTCCGAGTGTTATCCTCCTGGTGTCCTTTTTGCTGTCGTCTGGCCGCGCCGTCAGGGCCTTTCCGATTCTTTTCTTCACCGCCTTGTCACCTGCTTGGCCGCGCTTTCCCGTTCTCCACCGCCTTGTCGTGGGTTTTCTTCTGGCCATGAATGCAACAGTGGTGCAGCGTTTCAAGTTTGATATCATCCTTGATTATTCCCGAACGCATTGCGAAGGGTTCTTCCGGAAAATCCTTTGAACACTGACACTTCGACACTTACACTCAGACACACCTAGACATTGACACTTTCACCACACTGGCAGGATAAATAACATGAACGCTATACGTAGCCCTGTGTAAGTGGAAGAGCGAAAGCTGTCAAAGTATGCAAGTGGAAGTATGCAAGTGTAAGTATGCAAGTGAACTAGCACGGGAGATGTCCTAATGAAAAAACTTTTCCCCACTTTATAAATTCTCTCTTAAAGGCGGAGGGTGGGACGAACAGCGTCAACCGAAAGTGCAACCCTCTGCGGAGATCGTGCGTGTCGAGTGCGCGAAATGCAGGTGAGAGTGCGATGTGCCGGGTGCCCGCGCAACCCTCTGCGGAGATCGTGCGCGTCGAGTGCGCGAAATGCAGGCGAGAGTGCGATGTGCCGGGTGCCCGCGCAACCCTCTGCGGAGATCGTGCGTGTCGAGTGCGCGAAATGCAGGCGAGAGTGCGATTTGCCGGCTGTGCGCGCAACCCTCTGCGGAGATCGTGCGTGTCGAGTGCGCGAAATGCAGGCGAGAGTGCGATTTGCCGGCTGCGCGCGCAACCCTCTGCGGAGATCGTGCGTGTCGAGTGCGCGAAAT